GTACACTGAATATATCGATGAATTGGTTGGATTTCCACATGTATAAAAATAATTAGCTGAACATTCTTGAGTACAATTGAAATTTGAAGATGAAAACGGATCATCTTGTTTCTTTTTCGTTAGAATATTTGTACATAAACATTTGTTTGAATTGAGAAGAGCATATTTTTGTTTATAATTTGTACATAATTCTAAACAATGACGAGGATGAATATCATTTTCATCAGTTAAATTGAATTCATATGTTGTTGATTGATTCACAGAATTCAAATGAATACAAGTATCATAAGCGAAATCAGAAGTGAATGTAGTCATTTTATCAATATCTTCATCTTTGGACGAGAATATATAACTAGGATTTTCAATGACAACAATTGTATTTTCATTACCACAATGTTCATGTCGATTACCTGAAATTATTAATTATTATATGTATGTCTGGATTTATCCGCCTAATTACACATAAATTTAAGTTTAAATGAAGAACACAATTCTTTCTGACAGTAAGAATATAAATAAAATAATAAAAGGAGTATGAATTTATAGATTTTCCTATGGAATATATTTACAAAGGCACAGATGAATCTATTCATTAGAGAGTTCATTAGTTTTGTAGGTTTACGACCAGGATTGCATCACTAAAGTCTTTTGGAATTCCAATCTGATTCATTGAAAGATGATTATAAGATATTGACTATAGAGAAGAGTAGATATAGACTGAATATATATTTCATTCTGTAAGCAACAATCATAGAAAACTTATAGGTGTTTTTTTTCTCGGACTTATCTCATGCTACTGTGATTCTCTATGATGAAGTTGTTCCAAAGAGACATGATATCTTTCTACTGCATGTTGTTTTTTTATATTCGATGAATAGTGAAGCTTGCTAATTTCTCAGGCAGCTAGAGTTCTTATTGTTAAAATCTAATCTCGAACTTTTCTGCAGTTATACAATTTTAAGATTAGTTGAATTTATAAAAAAGAAAAACATTAAAATTTATCGCTGAAACATACCTGGGCATGGATTTCCACAATCTTTCTTTTGGTAGTTTTCATAATGAGGTTTCGTAAACAACATCCATGAAAGATCACTATTGAGACAATAACATTTATTTATATAAAGAATAGCTAATGTCGTTTGTAATGTTTTACACATGGATAAACATAATTCATGTGTTAATTGATTTGATATTATTGCTGGTAAACCAAATGTCAATGGTTTAGATAAACAACGTTGTTCAGATTGAAGAAAAATAGATTTCGTTTTACATAGAACATGTCTTGGTTTCGAACAATTACTAATATGAATATTTTTTAACATAGGACTTTTATTTCCGTCGATTGGTGAACGTGTGACAACTATACATGAATCATCTATTACAGTTGTTTTATTAGTTTCCATGAGATTAATCATTTGAAATTCATTTATAGATGAACGATTAATATTACCATTGGATATTGCTGATGATACATCTGTAGTAAATGGATTAAGTTGCTGAAGTATTGTTTCAGTATTTGATAGATCTAAAAAAGGGATTACTTTAACTATATTTAGAAATAATCAATTCTTTTCTTTTTCATATAAAAGTGATTTAGTTTTTAGCAAAAAAATACTTGTTGATCTAGTTGAAGAGTTAATTTTTTTTTTGGATCTTTCATTCTTAAATTAAGAATCTTCGAAAAAAAAAATTAACAATACATTCGTTACATATTGAGTCATCATATTCTTTACATGAAAATCTGCATTTTAGCTTATTCGGAAGACAAGAAAACTTAATTTAGTAAATTTAAAGAAGATCAGTAAAAAATGCAAGTAGTCATATTCAAAAATAATTCTGTTTCAATTGGAAAACTCGTTTGAATTTTCAATAATCCTTAAATTAATCATCGGTACGGTTAGATACTTTCGGATCATAGCACACTGACAGTAGTTTGCTGACGGGTATTAAACCTGACATAATCTTGACTATGTTCAACTTAATCTATGGAATTCTATTAATTATGAAGAATTACTTGAAACAATAATCAATAAGATTTCAATTAGAGATTTTACTTGTATCAAGAAGATAAAAGCCAAGATGTGCTTGCCATTGTGATGTATATTGAGCGATTTCACCTTTATACAAATCATTGATATAATTCTTGATATTGTTACGCATTTCATTTTTATTATCATTATTATCGTCATCGCTAAATATAATCTCTTTATCTGTTTTTATTTCATCAACCTTTGATATATTAATACAACTATTTCTTGCTTCTTGAATGGTTTTAGCTTCATCCGATATTCGATAACAATGTTTGTTTAAATCAAACCAATTCGTTGGACAAGATGTTATCATGAAATAATCAATATCAGATGTATAAATTGGATAAAATCTAGTGGTATATGATAATAAATTTCTATTGATTGGATTTTCTATGCATAATCTATATGATGATCTATATAAATAAGATAAAAATGAAACTATACGTAAGCAACCGTTATCTAATACATAATTTGTATTAAAATTTCTGGTAGAATAACTTGCATTAGAAAGATTTGAATTTATTGTATCGATATTTGTTGTTGTTTTTGAGCATGTCCATGAAGGATCAATAGTAACATCATTATTAAAAGCAATTGAAACTATGGATTTAGTTAAGTTTAATTTTTCAATTATTTTTAAAAAGACATTCCATGTTATATTTCCATCATAGACATAATGCATTGATGGTGGTGAACATGAATCTATAAATTGTCTGTCTATAGATATACATCGTTTTAATTCTTTTATATAAATTGAATCAATCGGACATGCATCATTTAAACTATATACGGCCCTAATACGTCGATCTGATGATGAACCACATTTAAATTTATGTTCAAGTTTTGAATCACCCACTATGTTATTACAATAACGATCACAATTATTATTTGATAAAATTATTAAATTAAGTGCACCATTAGAATCAACATTTAATTTGTTCGGCATTATACATGAACATTGATTGATATCATCATTAAAAGCTGAAAATAAATTATCAGATTTCATTGCTTTTTTTTCGGTATAGATAACACTTTGTTCAAATTCGTATTTATACTCTAACTTTACAATTAATAAATGACAATATCGAGTCTTTGCAATTGTCTTCATAAATTTATAATAACTATTTTATTTTGATTATATAATGAAATCATGTGATGAAAAAGTTGGTTCGAAGAGTGAAAAAAATCATAATTAGGAGTGGCAATCGATCCCGTCCCACTTTAAAGTTTACATCAAATGAGCAAAACAACTATTCGAATAGATGTGACCGTATCAAGTTCAAAGACATGTGATTTTGTTCAGAACCAATTACTGTACTAGTTACACTTATATAAAAAAAATATTTTTGATGGAATGTAGAAACCTAATTTTGGCAATGTTCGTTTTCCAAAAATTTTTAATGCAAATTTATCAGTGAGTATTCATCATGTACTTATCTTTATGGAACGTGATGTTCGCTAACTCAATCCGTTCTCCAATTTATCCCACTAGTGATCATCATGAAGGAAAGTGAAATATAATTACTTTGTTTCGGAACGTTTTGTTACCAGCTTAATTGTTGAAATAGATCCAAAGTATTCATATTGAAAAATCAGTGAAATACTCGATACCAGCAGGCGAAACCATCTTGAATGATGTATGGCATTGGGCATTTCACAGCAAAAAAAAAACAGATGAGCAATGGTTGTCTTCAAGTGTTTCTTTTCGTCTAGTGAGTGTGAATCTTAAGATAAGATTTTCCGACTCTCTTCCCTGTTCTCATCGTAGACAATATAGGAAAAAACTACTCCTACCCTTTACAAACATTAGCAAGCAGCGAATTCCAACATTGTAAACTTCAGAAATCGGATTTGATCTTTACAAAAAAAACTTTTATCTTTATCTTGTTTGCATCAATGTACTCAGTCTAAAGGATATATGCGAGTCTCATATTATAGCCCCAATGGTATTGCGTTAACTATCTTTTGTCACATGTAATTTTCTGAGCTATAGACAATAATATTTTGGTAAAAGAAAGCCCTTTCCGAGAATGAAAATCACATGTCTGTCTACCATGTATAGAATCCATAGTACGCATTACTCAAATATTTATGATTCCTATGAATATGAAATACTTACTATATCGTAATTATTGACACTTAATATGTTTCTCCTACCTATGGATTTTGTCGTTGCATTTTGATCAAGACATGCAGCTGCACATCGTTCTAATTTATTCAATGAAGATCTAACAGATGATCCATCAATTTGAACTTGAAATGTATTATAATAATTAGAACTATTCCATAATTCACATGATGCAAATTGAATTTGATAGTTCAACAAATAAGCATGTCGAGTATAAAATTGTTCTTCAACGTAAACTGAATACGTTTTTATACCACCACATGTATTAGTAGTTTTATCTTGACGATTACCTGGCTTTGGACATTGTATGTTGCAAAATTTATCTCTTTGTCGATTATAATCCATAAGACCACTACCTGAACATCGACATATTCTATGTTGTATATAAATAATTGGTGTTTGACATAAACTAAAACATAATTTTGGTTCCATGTATGAACTTATAAAATAACTATCATAAAACACTTGTGTATAACAACCAACATAACGATATGAACTATAAACTGGGTGAACCATGAAAATAATAATAATAATAATCAAAAGACAAGTGATTCTTAAGTACAACATTATATGTTGAAACAATATAAGTAAATGATTGATGGAAAAAAAACAATTGAAAACGTTTCTAATATACGAAGCAAGAAAAGAAACATGATATGTTTTGTAATTATTTGGTATCGAATCACTGATAATGGTAAAGAAATAGAACGACGATCTTTTGATTCTTGTTATCGATATTTGATAGCACAAGATATTGAGTATCGTGCTTCTATGATGGGAAACTCTAATCTGAAAATATAGTTACACTTTTTTGTTCTGTTTCTTGTATTGTATTGTTGTTTAAAGAAATAAATAAACTGTGATGGAGAAATATAAATACTGTTAGTGCAAATCATAAAGCATTACAATATGCAACACAATATTGCAGTTATTGGAGTCTTCATCAAGAAATCTATCAAAATGCCTGCCACGGTCTATATAAGAGGCATACAGAGGAATTTCGTTAAAAATGATTTCTTCAAAAATACAAAATTGAAAAGTGTTGTCATTCTTCAACTACAGTACATCTCACCGAGCTTAAAGTTTCCTATAGTTACGTTAGAACCTGCTCTAATTGCTTTCTTTAGTTTTGTTTCAAAATATGACATACCATTAACTATTCATAGAGTTTACAAAGAAAAAAAATACGGTGCATTCTTGATCATATTCTTATAGTTTGGATAGGTAATCAAAACACTTTAGCAATCTGTCATTGTCGCGTTGGAATCTTAGAACTAACAAGGCTACCGTGCAGCGGCGGATCTAGGATTTTTTTGATAAGGGGCGATTTGATAGATATGGGGCGATTTTGACCAAAAATCGAGTTTTGAAGTTCATTAGTAGTAGTATGCACTCTATTTTTAAGTCTTTTCTGCTGGGAAAAATCGAAAATTTTTTTTTTCGAATGGGGGCGATCGCCCCAAGCGCCCCCCCCTAAATTCGCCACTGCTACCGTGACATAGTAAGTAATGTAAAAACTACGTCTGTTGTAGTAGTTTTCAAAAACGTTCTTTCGTCTCTACGCTTCAGTGGCATGGCTAGATAGATTGTACGCATTAGAGTCACCATAATTCTTACTGTTGAAGTACTAGGGACTTGCGTCTGGTGAAAATTCATATAATTTTAAAATCTAGGTGAAAATAAACTATCGCTGATGCTGTCGCAGTAGTGATAGCAGTGTTGCCATGTACATATGAAGGTCATAATTAGCAACGACCACTTCTAAACTCAACAAATAAAATTCTGAAAGACAGAGGGAACAATGAATTTTCTTCGATCAATTTAAAGGTTTTAAATTCAGAATATGGAAAGTTGTCTCATCAGACAATATATGAGGATGAAAATAGGACTTTGCCATTGGTCCAACTATCTTGAAAGAATATATTTGCAAAGACATCATCTGTATGCCTAAAGAATGTTGATCCTCTGAGTATTTTCACTAAAAGTTAATCACATTATTCAAACCTTAATCGATATGTTTGATACAAACTGCAGCTTTTTATATACAACTCAACTGAATTTTTCGTACGTATAATTAATTCAAACAACTGGATAATTCACATTGATACTCGAACACGACTAAATGAACGTGTTAAACGTCTATGTATAACTTTTGGATAACGAATAACTATAATAATACGAGTCATTCTTTCAGAAAAAAAAACACATAAATGAAAATCATTCGATTATATTTCTATAATATAAGGATTACCAAAATATAAATATGATCACACTTCATTGTTAATTTTTTTCAGTACTACATTAAAAAAAAAGACAAAATTATCAAGATGTTTGTATAAAATATACTACTTGATCTATCTGACTCTCACAAACAGCATGAATTGATGATCTGTAATTGAACCGATGAATAAAATACTATGAGTTATCGATAACGAGAGAATATTATTTTTCGTAAATTGTCTGTCACTTTTTATTAATTTCACTATTTAATGAAATGACATGACAAGTGCAAAAGAAAAAAAGAAATCAAATAAACTTTTTGAAGTGTTCATCAATTCAAAGAACAAAAAAAATCAATCGAAAAATCTTCATTCTAAATGAAAATTATGAATAAAATAGAAATATAATAAAGGAAAGTATAATAATAATAATAATAATTCTAATTTAAATCGAATTCATTGCCGGTTGATACTTTAGAATAAATAAGATTACTAGTATGTCTTTCTGTATCAATTCTATTATTATTTTCTTGCATTGAACGACGTTTGTGTAATATATATATAGATCCAAGAAGTATAAGAACGAATATTATAGCAAAAATGACAAATATTGTTGAAAAACGTTTGCCTACAGGTTTTGAAAAATTTGCTGCATCATTTATTGACAAGCCAATATTATCACTAGAAAGAAAAAACTAATTACTTCAGCGAGTTTAAGAAAGTAATTTAATATTTCCAAAAATTTCATATTCATTCTCAAATCCTTCACGAATTTGTAATCTCATTCTAATCAAGTTTGCAATAAAAAACAACAAATATAATCAGATATTAAAGATGATTCAAGAAAAAATTATCACACTGTTCACCAAGATCTATACTATTCAAATTGTTTGGATTATTTCAATTCATATGAGCTCATCATGATTTCATCTATAGCGACTTCGAATTCTCAATAACGGGAGAAGTTAACTATCGATATACAATCCCATATCTGTAGTCTGATATTATTCTGTTTCTTATCAATGTTAGAGTCATCTAACTCTAACATCTGATTAATGAAGCGGATATGAAAATTTTGTAAGGCATAATATAGAACCCGTTGGATTCCAGTGGTGCTACTCATCGAATAGAAGAAAAACAGAAATAAGTATCTTGCATTCACACAAAATACCCATCAAAATAAATGTAGACATATATTCATTGAATAATGTTTCTTTTGTGAGTACTCAAAATTTATCTAAACAAATTTTTATATTTTACACGAATTATATGGAAAACTAACCGTTTTGCTACAATCGAACGTGTTTTTCGAATCGGTGATTTTTGACATATTACAGTTGCAAGTTGATTACAAGGTATTTCATTACATGAGATAGATAGTTCAAAATCATCTCGAAAATTAACATATGCACAACCAGTTTGTTGAGTTTTTAATCGTTCTTTATCCTCTTTTGATACAGTTGATGATGACATTAATGTTTCATATCGTGTACGAAATGTTTTTTCGCATAAAGTATGAATAGCATTAGGATTTGGTGTATTTGGTAAAGTATTTCCATTGGTTGTGTTATATTGTATAACAGTATGAGTTCGATTATCATAAATAACACCAACATGAGCAATACCAGATGATGTATAACTACGTCGACGTAAAAATAAGAATTTTATCAAGTTCAATGTCTTCATTTGTTGAGGTATAAGTAACATAGCATTATTACGTTCACATTCAGATTTTGCATCTTGCCAAGTTGTTTCATGAAAGAATATTTTATAACAGTACTCATCCATCAAATGATACTCTTCATCATCACCACATGTATAATCTGTTGTTGTATTAACTGATATCATTGATGAATCA